GGATACTGGTTTGGGAGAGTATGACTTGTTTTTTGCTTGTGCTTGGGTGAGTTGCATTTGTGAGGGTATTAGAGCCCATGCTAGCTGCTCATTTAGAGAAGATTTAGTCTGCGGGGCACCTGGTGCACGCTCCCTCCCCTGTATGTTTAAGCTGCTGAGCTTTGGGATACAAAGGGAACCCCACAGCTGCCCCATCCCACCCCCAGGTGCTCCCTGCCCGCCTGGCTGCAGATGAGAGCACCCCCAAAGGTGTACAAACTCCAGCAGTCGCCATCCTCTCCTCTCACCCCCCCAGGGAGGGGGATGGGGCATAGCAAGAGTCTGGCTCTTCTATTTAGGGTTGCCAGCGTTGAATATAACTGCCCTATTTTTCTCTTGTGTGCTGGTCACTGGGAGAAGAATGCAAATTAAGTTACGGAATTTAAGAAAGCATTGCAGAAATCATCTTCCCTCTATCAGTTTAAAGCTTATGAAAACAGACAAGTGCATCGCTTCTGAGATAAGGTTTGGAGAACTGCTTGCCTCCTCGGAGCTGAATTGAGAGCTAGCGGGAAGATTAAAACAATCAGCTTATTATATTATTAGTAGTGGGAGAATTCTAAACCCCACTTGTTCAATTATGGTCCCTTAAATATGCTTATTTGGGTTCTTGTAAATTGTAATCAGTAAATTAGACACGCTGCCCTCGCAGCTCGAGGGTTAGCTTTCAAGGGACTTCCCACTTTAAAAAAAAAAATAAAAAATAAAAAATGTTTAGAGTGAAATCAAGAAGGGAATTAGTTGTTTGATATGCAAGGATGGCTCCGCGTGAGGGATGCCGGCTGCATCCTGATAGCTATCTGCTGAAGGCAAAGCCTCGCTGCTGGTGCTGCAGCGCTGCTGGCCCAGCAGAGGAGTCTCGGAAATGCGCAGGCTGTGCCCGTGCCGTGTGCCACTGCCATGGGAACGGGAGCTAACGCCGTGGCGGTGAACACGGGCTGATAAATGGGGCCGTCGTCGAGTCTCCAGAGGCCAGCCTACGTTGCTAATAGTTGTCTGAGGCGGCGCAAGAGGAATGGGAAATCCTCGCTGTCACCTCCTATACGCAAACGTGGGCTGTCCTTAATTTCTGTAGTGGTTTGCCTCTCCCCCCTCTCTTTTTGTTTTGTGTCAACAGTTTTAATATCAGGCATCGATCCCAACACCGGTCAGATGGCCGAGTCCAGGGCTTGTTCTGCCCTCTTCTTACTTGCCTGGGCGGGCTGATTTGTGTCCTGCAGAGACAGCCTTCAAAGAGAAATCCCTCTTCCCTTTCAGCTCCTTGAACAGGAGGTTTCAGCAGGTGTGGGAAGCGGGCTCCTCAGCCTTTAGTAAGTGTTTTGTGTGGCTTTGCAATGCGAAGAGCCTCTGGCCTTCCTGGCAAGCGGCCTGTTTCTTCAGTGCAGATAAATTGTGTGTTTGTAGCAATGCTACATCGTGCAAGCTCAATGTCCTGACCATATCTCCCCCATTTATTTCCCTTATCTCTCTTTAATATAATAGGGGTAGCGGCTGAGGCAGGGAAACATATGCAGCAGCATAATGGTATGTTGTCTGAGAGCAGTTGTCTTCCATTTCCAGGGTTTCTCTTCTGAAATGCAATTGTCTGCTAATGTCACCGGGAAACGCGACTGCAGGAGCGATGGCTGGAGTGCGTGCCTCTGCTTTTGGCTCACGCTGCACCCGTACAGTGTTTTTAAAAGCAACTGGCTACAACCTTGGCTAATTAAATGCCGCTGACGAGCTGTGTTTGCAGAAGTTGTGGTAGGCACGTTGTCACCGAGCGGGGAAACTGCTCCGCAGCGCCAGCACAAAACGCGCCGCGTCCCACGGGCACGGCAGTAACAACCGAATTACAATTGCCTTGTGTAAAGGATCTGGTAATGAAGGCAGATAATGGAATTCTTCGCCAAAGCAGATGCTAACTGGCTCCCCGATGCTAGGCAGGGAACTGGAAAGTGAGACCAGCTGGGGGCAGAGGGAACAGCTGAAAAAGGCATTAAAAAGGAGACGCCTTGGATCCGCGTTTGTTTAAGCAGTAAATACTTGTTTAAAAGAACCTTATGAGATTCTTATTAAGAGGCGAACTGAGAATAGGATTACACCGTTACAGGAAGGCAGCGGGATGCCCAGAGGAAAGCCGTGTGCGGATCGGAGGAGGGAGGCACCGGCAGCAGTGGGAACAGCGCCTTGCCTTGCCGCTCGCACCGCCAGGCGGGCGGCCGAGGACAGCCCTGGGAAGCGTGTGATTGTGGGAGGTGGCGCTTGTGCCAGCCACAACCTTCTGCTGCTCCAGGAGGAGACGGCGTGCCGCCTAGGGGAGCCCTGGTTTTAAGGGTAGGGCGTAGGGCGGGCTCCTCTCGTCCCTCGGTGTGTGAACGTGCACATGGCTGCGGCTGCACGCGCTGGCAGTGCCCTCCCGCCCCGCTGGAAGGGGTTTGCTTGCAGCATCGCCTTGGCTGTTCAAATAATTGCTTCATAAATTAATGTGATGATTCAATGAAGGGCTTCGTACAGGCAGAGGTTTCCCTCTAGTATGGATTTTCCAAACAAAAGCACATGGCGGGGCAACCCTTTAAAAAAAAAAAAAAAATGAGGCTGTGTTGCACCCTAGCAATGGCCCCACCTGCTAATTTTTGGAGGGCTGAAACTTCCTCTTCGTTTCAGCCCAAGCTGGAACAGGAACGCATGTGTACTGCTCAACAGCAGGCGCTTTTCCCACCTGAGAAGAGCAGCAGGAGGAAGCCCTGCAGAGCTCACAGACTTCCAGGTGCCAAGGTCCCTGTCTGCAGGTCAGGGTTGGAGCGAGGGGTCCGTGCGTGGTGCCACCGCCCTGCTCCTGGCCTCAGGCTCGTGTGGGGCAATTTCAGGGAGTTTCTCTGACAAACAAGAAGCATCTTTAGGAGCTGTCCCTCAAGATGTGCTGCTCCATCTGCACGGCGTTGAAGCGTGCGTCTTCTCCTTTTCTCATCTTTTCTGATGCGCTCTAACAGGTTTGGTTTGCTGTCAGGCTTGTGCTAGGCAGAAAATGGTGGTCTTCAAACCTGGGCTTCATTTAATGGGGAAAAAAGAACATTAAACCTGGTGCTGTATGAAACGTGCACAGCTGTGGTGCTGCTGGCGCCTGCCCTACCTCCAGGAGCAGCACTTTCAGGACCTTCCCCACTTGCTGCTTTTTGGCAGGAGGCGTCCTGCATACCAAGCAGAAAAATCACACTTCCCAAATTCAAGTAGCAAATCACACCGCTAATTACTTTTTGACCCCATTAGTTAGGAAATATATTACAGGGCTGCGCAGCTACACGGGTTGCCATTTAATGCAGTTCTGTGAACTTTTGGCATGTAATTGATAGTAACGAGCAGGGTTTCTAATTTGTCATGATATCCTGAGTTTGTGCAGACCTCTGCAGGGCTTTACAAGCTCATCTCTCCGGGGAAAGCGTCTAACCCTTAATATAACCCTCCCAAGCTTTTAGACTCAGGCTCCAGGCCACCAGGGGTTTGGGACAAGGCAGGGAAACACCAGCCTGGAAATACAGCAAGGGGGAGAGCTGGTTGCTGCCCTGACTGTGGGTTTTACCCTTGGGTGCCTCTGGGGCTGGAGATAAAGGCTGCTTGGGTGTCCCTGCCAAATCGTGAGGGGCTGCTGGGGCTGGGAGAAGGACCTTGGAGAAGGGCCAGGGCTGGCGCTGTCACCCTGCCAGCCTGCATCTGCTTTGTCCAGTCCTTCCAGCCCTCTTTATTCACTTTTTGGTGCTTCCCTCTCACCTTCCCCAGCTCCTTTCCCCTCTTCTTTGTTGTCATGGAAACACACTACGGTGGTTGAAATCGTGCTATCGAAACACACTTCCCGTGGTGGAATGGTAATAGCTAATATTGATCTAGCTGCTGCTGACTCAGGGCTATGGCTGAGCATGTAATATCTCCTCTCGCTCTTCTTAATGCATAATGCAGCAGTTTCCTTCACCTTGGGCTCTGCACTGAAGGTGATACCCAGGCACACCAAAGCCCCGCGATCTGCTGTTTTAAGATGTGGCCCAGCTGTGATGCTGGGTGCAGCTGGTGTTACAGAGCTGGCTGCAAAAACCACAGAGGACAAACAGAGAGCAAAAAATACCCTTGCTGCATTTGACCCTTGTAAGCCAGAGTTACAGATGTCCGTATGCTGGCAGGTGAAAAGGCAGTCAGATTAAACTGTCAGCGTGCTCTGTTCCACTGATGTGCAGTCTGCTCCAAATAACTTTGTGAGTATATTGCATTCTGTCACAGAAATGCTTGAAATGCAGACGAAAGACAAATAACAGCCTTAATATCAAGCGAAGCTGCCTTTAAAGCCATAATCATTCACCTGCATTGTCACTGACATCTGCACAGCAGCACGTAAGGCTAAGTGGAACATCATAACTGTATTCCTGAAGCACCAGAAAGAAGCAAAATAAAAGATTTTATCTCGAGATGTGGATTTGCAGTATGTTTGTAATGTAAGCTTTTCCGTTTCCTACAACAGGTAGTTAACCAGCTCCAACTTTATGAGGGTTTTTGTAAGGTGAGATTGGGGTACCTCTAGATTTCCCTTGTTTACCCTCTTTTCAAAACATTTCTGTTTTAGAAACAGTCTATTTTGTACATAATTAAAATAATGCAGTTCTCATGTGGACACAATTTGCAGCTGATGCTGCATTTTGTTCCTTCAGTGCTACAGGGACAACCGGATGGCTTCCCGCTGTCCAGGGATGCCCAGGGTAAAGGTGCATCACTGAGAGCAGTGTCCTGTCTCTCTTCATGGCCTTAACTGTTTGGAAAGCGAGTGGAGGGAATGCAGGGGTTAGGTACAACACGTCGCCTTGGATTCTCTGCTGGAAAGACCTCCGTTAATAAAGTCTAGATTCTGTGAATTCATCTATCTCTAGCATCTTTGTGTGTCTGTGAGCATCTGCACGTAGATTATCTTGTATTACAACTCATGTTATGTTTCTTTGTAGAAAAAATCAGGCAAAGATATGCAGATCTACCGGGAGAGTTGCACATTATTGAGCTTGAGAAAGACAAAAATGGGCTTGGACTGAGCCTTGCTGGCAACAAGGACCGATCTCGTATGAGCATCTTTGTGGTTGGGATCAATCCAGACGGACCTGCGGGACGAGATGGGAGGATGCATATTGGCGATGAGCTTCTAGAGGTAAGTGCCTTCCCTAACTACTAAATAAGGATCATATGGAGAGAGGGAGAGGCATATGTGAGGCTATCAACTGAACCTTAAATAAAGCCTTCAAGTGGAATTGGGTGACTGAGGCAAGGAACTGCACTGATTTATGCCAACTGAGAACTTGCCCTTTGGCAGGTAAATGTGTTTTCAGTGAAACAAAAATCATCGGCCTGTGAAAACTAATGTCTTGTCAGTGAGGTCTGTGCTCTCAGCATGTTCACAAGCTATGCTCAGGGAGGGACTGTTGAAAGGCAGGAAGGGAATAGTAAATCTGTCCTTGTAGCCTGTATGTGGTTTTGCAGGGAAATTCACACCTTACATTAAGAAAGGAAAAAAAGCTAAACCCCCTCAAAGTTACCATATGTGTTTTTACAGATGACAGGGATATCCCCCATCCTGAAAATAAAAGCTCGTGCTGTAATCTGTTTTGATTTGTTGTAACTTAAAATACTTATTTTCTTTAGTCGTGTCTGGCACAAATTCGCCGACAAGGGAAAAGAGCTCATCAGCAAGCAGAGTATTTTGTCTTCTCTTTTTCTGCTTTCTCCTTGCTTCACCTTCGGATAGCAAACACACATTTCCTGCACTTCATCTGATTTTTGGCTGCTGCCAAATGCCACTTTTCTGCAGTACCTGCAGCGGTTCCCCATGTCATGATTGCTTCAGCAGTTTAAAAAATCAGCCGTCCCTGGGGATCTTTTCCTTTAGAAAGAAGCTTTCACAGAAGAGCAGGTATACAGCGACCTACCGCTCTCCATGGGTGGTGATTTTTGATCTTTCAGCAACTCGCTGTGGCATCAGAGAACCAACTATTTTCTCATGTTTCTTGACTTGAGAAAAAGCAATTTGACTGCCTGGGGATACCTTGGGAGTACTCAGAATTTTCTAAGCATTTGTCATTGTCTAACAGTTCTATAATTACAGGTTTTCAATGCACGTGGTACAAGAAAGGTTTGTTTTGCTAGAATAACAGCACCATCTGAAGCTTATTATTTTCTTCTTAAGTGTGATAAATGGTATGAAGGTCTATACCTTGCTGAAGTCGTGTAGGTAAATGACTTTTTCCTTCAAATTTGTTTCCTTTCCCTGGCACCAGATTCTAATGGTAGAAAAAATAAATTGTTGAGTATTGGCATATACCAGTTGAAAGGATCTGTGGGACTGTTTTTCTGCATGTCATAGGCCAGGTAGTTAAAGAGAAACTTGAAAGAACCTTTTGTATTGGTACGCTTCCCTACAAAGAGGGATTCACAGAGGTTTTCTTGTATCTCATGAGTAATTCCTTGTGGTGATTGTTTGATCTAACGCTAAACGTTGCTGTACGCGAAGCATCTGTGATTAATCACAGGTATCTCAAGGCTTGGGGTTTACATGCATGCCCTGTGTTATGAGCAGCAGTTTCAAAAATGTTGCGTTGCCCTAATTCCTCTCCCTGTCAAGTCGGAGATAAAGTGGTTTTTCCTTCAGTGGAAGAGAAGTGATGTTTGTTATCTCAAAAACGCAATATTTCAAATAAACTGCAGTTCAAAGGGCCTTCAGTAACTACCTCTCCTGTTTACCTTTGCAGTCAAATTAAAGGTGTGTCACCAGCGGGCAGAGGTGTGAGCGCTTCTGAAAGGATGTGGTGATCTCATGCCGGTCCCCAGTGAGCTTGTATCCCGTGTCAAAACATCCTGCATTACAAAGGAGCGGGCTGTGTATTAGTCATGTACAGATGTCTTATGTTCACACCAGCGGTCAATTATTCAGAGCTCTGTTTTTTGCCTTTTGAAAGCATTTCGGTGTTGTATGTGAGCAGCACTGAGCTGGAACTAATGGGCACGTACACTGGCAGGTTTGTTCAGTAAGCAGGAGGTTCAGTATCCATTTCAGTAACCATCAGGAATCCCCATATCTGAGAAATATGCAGGTCACGGAGGTAGGAATATGACTTCGTGTTTCTTCCCTGCCAGTCGTGCAGGGGTCGGGGCAGTCGGCTGCCTTCACTTCCAGAGGCAGTTAGAGCATCAAAGGCTGCTGGAGGAGCACTAACAGCAAACTTAAAGCGTTCAGGAAGTGACGGGGTCCAGATTGTTTGTTTTTTGTTTTTCTGCTTAAAGACTTAAAATTGGACTGTTAGTACAAAAGCACTTGTCTTCCATGGGGCCCTCACCTCATTCATGGCCCTGGACAGTCTGGTACTGAGGAAGGAGCCTCTGGTCCTTTGGGTGGTGCAGCCCTGCAGGTAAGGTTTCCATCACTCTGCCTGCAGGCTAAGCTGCTGCGCGTTGCCCACTAATAAAAAAAACAAAAACAAAAACAAAAAAAAACCTTGAAGCCATTATCCTTGGTGTTCTCATCAGTTTGTCAGCAGATAGACCACCCTCAATTCTCTTCTCACTGAATGTTTTAAATGCGTTTGCATCTGCAACTTGTTTGCTCATCAGTTTTGAGTATGTGACCATATCAGCAAGGGAAGGAGCCACATCTTAAAAAGGCATCTAGAGTGACTCCTGTTGGCCAGTGTTGCTCCATGAAAGCAGCAGACGCTGTTGCAGCACGTGCAGGTTATTCCTCTTAGCTGCTGGGGGAAGGTTAACAGGTACCTGTGTATGGATCTTATCTGGTTTTTTTCTTTGAACTGGAGTTTGACTGAACTTAGCTGAAGGTTATGGGATGCTGCCAAACCGCCTCTGCTCCTTATTCATGAAATCCTCTGTCACTGAACTAAAGAAATATTATCTCACTTTTAGCTTCTGCAAACAAGCCTAGTCTTTTAGGGGCATGATCCTGACTCATTTTCAAAGTCAGTCCGGCCTATATGTTGGGTGAAATGCAGGTCAAAATAATAATAATTAAAAAAAAAGGTACATGATCTCCCTTTTTTATTTTTTAATAAGTCTTCTGTGATGTATTTTGGATGGATGAGTGGCTGGAGAGAGCAGCCATAGGAAGGAGAAGGTCCTTTCATCCTACTCTCATACCCTTCATGGAGGAAAAGTATTTGGGGCAGAATTCGGTCCCTGCACAGAAGGATGTATTTTTACCATGGCACAAGCTCTGCTTTTCTGTTCTGTTTCCAAGTAAAGAAGCCATCTGTGGTGTTCCTGCCTGGCAGTCATGCTGTTCTAGTGCAGGTGTCTGCACTGCTTCGTGTCTTATTACTCCGGGCTCCGTCCTGCCGCTGACAGTGCCCAGCATGGCCCGGGGCACGGCCCCGTGGTGCTGGACCCGTGCTGCTCCTGAGCACTGGCATGGCTCTGTCCTTCTGGTACGTTTTGTGCACACTGACTAATCCCTCTATTATTACTATTATTATTGTTTTTGCTCCGTAAGGGAGCCGACTGGTCTATTAACGGAGCGAGCTGTACAGAGCCATGCTGGGCTGAGTTCCCCACGCTGGGATCTTCTGCCGGCTGTCCCTGCTTATCTCTCTGGAAGATAGAAAGGAGCTGCTCTTCTGTTTTGTACATCATTTCTGGAAGGACCAAGAGAGCCTTCACAGTCCAGCAGCAGCGTGCAAGTTACCCGACGTCCCTCCCAGGCAGCGAGAGGCAGTTCGTGCTCCTGCCGTTTGTCGTACCCCAGTGCTGGGGCCCTGCGTGCTAACTGTGGCTTTACTGGGATTTTGTTTGAGACTCTTAGGGAAATAGAAGTGATGCTATAATAACATACCAGATAAGTCAGTATTCTGCCCAAGTAAATGAACGGCTCAGCCAAAATCACGTCACATCTGTCTTAAAATTGGGGGAATTAGTGCTTTGCTCTCGGTTCTTGTTGGGGCATTATTGTTTTTGTCCTCTTCCAAGATTATGACTCTGGATTAGGCAAGTAGCATTATCCCTCCAGCACAACAATGACTAGAAAGAAGGGTTTCCACGTGAAAAAAAATCATCTTAAATGATTAATCCCAGTAGTGATAATTGTTTTTTAATTCCTACTTTCAGCATAATGCTCATTTTTCATGTACTTAGTATACAGCTTAGCAATTAAGGTTAGACAGCAGGAGGCTGTCCTTACGCCATCATTCTGTCCATCCAGATGAGGCAATGTTTGAGCCTGTGCTGGGTGAGAAATCTGGGCAGGAAAGAAGAATTTGCATTCAAATTCATTATTTTATTTTTCTTCTGTTTTTCTATGTCTTATTACTTTGGGTTTTGGTGCTTTTTGTGGGTTTTCAGTTTATGCAATTTGATCAAAAACTTCTGGAAACATTTCCTGTTGTTTCAGAGAATCTGATTAAATCTCAAAATGTTACAGTTCCTGTGATTAGAAGACAACTTATGCGTTGTTACAAAAAATAGTTGTAGGAAGCTGTGTCACTCCTTTGAGTTACCATCTGACTTAATTTTCGTAAAAATCAGATGATGCTAATTTTATGGATTTCCATTATTGCCCCATTGTTTAAAAAATAAAAAGTTTATTTTGGAAATTATCCAAATTTAACATTTTTCTTCTGCAAATCAAAGTTTGAGAAACAAACAATCCTTTTAATGTTTTTCTCTTAATGAAATCTCAATTCCTAAATTGAGTTTGTACTTTCAGGTGTTTTAGTGTGTGTGAAACAAAACTTTTGTATGTGAAGGCAACAATAAGTTTGACATCATGTGATAAAATTTGCAATAAGGCCGTGTTGAGTTGTATCAAGGATCCAATTTAAGTGTGCTGACCTGGCCTCACACCTCACTTTCATCTTTCTCTTTGCTCTCTTGTCTTTCTGAGATGTTTTACAAAGAGGCACTCAAAGAAGAGTTGAGGCTGGCATAGGTCCTTTTGTTTCTTTTGTTTGGTCAAAGCTTTGTTTTGCTTTTCTAATCTTTAACGAGAGAAGTAAAGTCCAGATTTATAGGTTTTGACTCCTGGAGTACTATGGGGTTAACGTGACATATTCCTTTATTTAATCTGAAAGATTTAGAATGGCATTGCTTACGAAATCCTAAATGTTCTTTGTTGGTTTATATAAGTAGGCTTTCATGCTTTGCTCATCACTGTGGTATCTGAAGCCAAAGTAACATTAATTTACTTTGCAAAAGAAAGTAACCTTTTTTTAAAAAAAAATAATACTGTCTGTAATAACTATGTGGGACAGTCCAAAATTGTGGAGATATATTACTTTGATTACCCATTCATTTTGGTATAATTAAATAATTATAACTTACAGACCTAGCTCAGAGTTAATTAAATTTTGGACTATTTGATACATCTACTGAAGAGGATTAATTTAGCCAGAGCAAAGACTACAAATTTTCATCTAAGTCTGCTGTTTAGAAAAATTGATGGTAATTTAACTAAATCCAAACAATTTGTAAGGCATCCACTATTCCCAGTGAACAAGTTATTTTTGAACCTAGCGGAATTAAGTCAACAAACATACTGAAAGTTGTAAGTCCGGCCTGAAGCAGAATGCGAGCAGGTATTCAGTTTTGGCACCAGATGGTAAAGTTGCCTTTGATCAGAGAATCACAGAAACATTAAGGTTGGAAGAGACCTCCAAGGTCATCTGCTCCAACACCCCCCTACCACCAATGTCACCACCAAACCATGTCCCCAAGCACCACGTCCAGCCTTTCCTTGAACACCCCCAGGGACGGTGACACCACACCTCCCTGGGCATCCCATCCCAATGCCTGGCTGCTCTTTGTGAGGAGAAATGTCTCTGAATTTCCAACCTGAACCTCTCCTGACACAACTTGAGGCCATTCCCTCTAGTCTTATCACTGGTTATCTGCGCGAAGAGGCCGACCCCCAGCTCCCCACACCTTCCTTTCAGGCAGTTGTAGAGTGCATTAAGGTCTCCCCTGAGCCTTCTCTTCTCCAGACTGAACAACCCCAGCTTTTCTCTTGTACTCATGTTGCCTATTCAACTGATGACTGTGCCAGTTGGTTTTGACCCACTGAGAACTAGAAGGGAGCATCAGCAACCTGCCACTGCGGCCAACCTGTGTGTGTGACACCAGGCTGCAAGGCTTGGGCCAGTTGTTACTTCTTCAGGTGAAAAAATCTTCTCTGAACACAAACCCTAAATCCAATACAAACATTTTCAGTAAGGTGAAGCCCTAGAATCACTGGTAGGTTGTTCCTGGGCTCCATTATCTGTATTGTTTTAAACAGAGCTGTTGTATCAACTGTGAGTGCACATATTGCGTTGTAAACGATGAGTGGGGAAAAAACTTGAAGGGTCTAAATGAAGCTGGCTGCTCACTTTGGAAGGTCGTGTGAGCAGTCCTGTCCCAGAGAGCTGCATTAGTAGAACCAAGATGCTCTGAAGGAGGGTTTTGACACGTTAAATGGCAGGCTGTTGTGCAGCCTGGGGGCGTCTGATGCTCGCTTAGATGCCAGGACACTGCACGAGGTGAACTGTGAACCTGAACTAACATCTCAGCTCCAAATGCCATTCCTTTTGGTTTCTTTTTATTCAAAGTTTGATTTTGCCTTGGGTTTGGTAGCAAACACCAGATCAAGCAGAGGTGTTCATGGGTGCAGGTAAATAATTGCTCTTCCACAGATTGTTGTTTTCTTAATGTTTATTCCGGTCAGCATAGTTAATGCTGAAGACAAACCTCATAGTCCCACTCCCTGCTGTCACGGGAGGCTGCTTTCCTTCACCACCTTTCTGGGTGTCTGGTTCAGAGTTTTAAACTCTTTAAGTCTGAGTTTTAAACCTGAAAGTCATCAGGGTATGGCTAATAGACTGCTCAAGGGTTTTGTCAATCTCCCTGACATAATCTTCTTTTTGCCATGGTACTCAGCACAGCTTTCCCTTTGTTTAAATTGTTGTGGTATGCCTGCCTGCCTTACGTACTGCGTGTGATCGTCGTGGTTGTAGCTTGTGCAAGCCTGAGCTGAAAAGTGTCCTCTTGGGGTACCTCTGAGGCAGGGGCAGTAAAAGGGGTGCTGAAGCCCAGAATATTGCAGCCACTGAGGTGCAGCAGGGTGTTAAACACCAGACCTGCCTGTGAAATGCTTTATATTTAACCCTGCGGGTTATTTTTGTGATAGGTTACTGAATGTGCTTTTGGCTGGCTTAAGAGTAGGTACTCTATTGATCTCAGAGGTCCTGTTGTGCTTGTTAAGGTCCCACTCACTGAGCATGCACTGGGAGGCATCAGGCATCGTATTTTCCTTTAACTGAGAAAGGACTTCTGGTACCTACAGACAGAAAATTCCTGGAGCATGTACTGCATTAAAGCCGTGCTGTTTCCCTCTGAAAACTACAGGATTGTCTTGTACTCAGAAAACATGTCCAAAGTAGTACCTGGTGTTTCTTGCTGTGATTAATTAAGTGTTTGATGCTTCACAGGCAAAGTAATGTGGTATGTCCTGACATTGCCTTCTCTGTCTCATCTCCTTTGCTGTTGGTTTTATTTTCTTCAGAGGAATGGAGGAGTCAGCACAATATGGAATTCTTGGTGGTGTGAATTAGAACAAAGCATACATAGTTTTGAACTTCATTTACATGAAAATCTCTTTTTTGTTTTAACAGATAAACAATCAGATATTGTATGGAAGAAGTCATCAGAATGCTTCTGCAATAATTAAGACCGCCCCTTCAAAGGTCAAGTTAGTTTTCATACGGTAAGAACAGTTCTTGTCAAAACATTTGTTCATAATTTTGACTATTCTGTTACATATTTACATCTGTAATTTACATATTTAGCCTCTTCTGAAAATGATGGACTTACTCAGTTCTTTGTGGAGTGATATAATCCTTTTCCTTGACTGTTCAGGGCTGCTCAAGAGTTCTTAATGTTTATACACACACACACACACACACATATATATATAAAAATTCATTTGCTTATTTTGGGGTACCTGCTGAAGGCTTGAGATGACCCTGACTGATAAGGCCTTTCCCCTTCCAGCTTATTACATGTGGGCATCTTTTCTTTTACTCCACGTATGAAAATTTTTAATGATACCTCAATTCATTCACTGTAGTTCAGGAGACGTTACTGTTATGACCCTTGACACGGCGATGGGAAGAATCTGCCCCTTTCCCAGAATTCACATATCCACTAACAAGTTGGAACTTCATAGGTGCCACTGTTCCTGCTGTGACTTCCATTGGCACTTACAACCATGCCCATTTATTAATGTGGTCTTCTGACCAGCATATACATCATGCTTGATATTGTTTTATATTCTTTGCTCATACTCAGCTTACCCGTGAACAATCTAATAATCTGTGGGTGAATGCATATAAATGTGTACATTTACTCGCATGGCTCTGTCTGGTACAGCACACACAGAAATGATGGAAGAGCAGCATTAGCTCCGTGAAGAATGAGTTGCTATACTTGGCAGCACATAGGATCTGGGGGAGATTAATGGTCTTGCCTGCAGCTCCCGTGTTACTTTTCCCAGCTATTGAAAATTAAATGTCATGTACGACAACTCACTCACCATTACTTAATTGCATGTGGAAAATGTGCCTGGTATGGAGGCTCTGGAGGCAGAAACAGAATGTATGAAACCAAAATCCAGGGCTCAATTTAGTGCTGCCAGGCAGCACTGAGAGCACGGGCTTCTGGTGATCCTGCCCTGCTGCCCCGAGCACCACAACTGGCTGCTGAGAACCAGACTCCACGGGGCTGTAACAGTGTGTGCTTGTTAACTCGAGTCTCCATGGGTATGGAAAGGAATAAAAGCTGTGTGAGTTCTTACCTGTATTTCCCATTTTTCAGGTTATTTGTGTAGCAGTGGATTTCAAGGCAAAAAATTGTCATGATGATCATAATGAATAGATACTGAAAATACCATTGGATGATTCTCGGCGCTCCCTTTAGGGCTTAAAATCAAAAAGTCTGCTTTATATGCTGATCTTGAGGTTATGAGCTTGTCTTTGTACTTCCAAAGAGAACACATCTCACCCCTGTGCTCTCTGCCGTGCATTGGAGTGCGCTGACAACTGACACGTCTGTTCACTTGATCCAAGCAGCCGTTCAAACCGCAAAGAAAACAAATTCTCCCACCGAGAGAATGTTATCAGCAGCTAGGCCACTGTCTGTAGTGCTGGGAAAAAACAAGTGTTGCTTTCTTTCCTTTTTTTTTTTAATTTTGAGATCAACTGCTTTTAGTAAGAGGGGTGTTTCAGAGTGTTACCAAAGCCAGATTAGGATGTTTCTTAAAGGAGAAATTAGAGTAATTTTCCTGTGCAAAATATATTCCATGAGCCCATTCTTCCCGTTCCTACACTTTTAGACTTCAAAATCAGTGGATGTGATTGAATGCATGAACCAAAAGGCTGTGCCATGCCCAGAAGTCTTGTCCACAACACAGTTTAGAAGGAGAAGTTTTTGCTTGCTTTATCAGTTATTTTAAAACCATAATATAAGATGGAGGTACTGAAATGCCACTGCTTCATGCACTGTGGTGCCAGCTCTACGAAATATGAAGAGTTATGGGCATCGTGAATCTCCATCCATCTCTTGTGCAATAGCTTTTCCAGCCAAGAACAGAGTGTAGCAGACTGAGAGCTCTCCTGGTAGGTTTGCTGCTTGCCTGGTCTCACACAGTGCCTCTCGGCTCTCCGACGTGGAAGGAGCAGGGTGCTGTTACGTCTGCTATGCCCTGAAGAAGCAGAGGAGCCAGTCACAACAGAAATACTTCCCTCCTCCTGAGCACCGTTACTGATGAAACCTCCTTGTGCAGGCAGAAAGGCCGAGAGCATGTCCTAGAGCACATGGGAAGGAGAGGACACAACTCCCCCTAGCAAAATAAGGGACACTGCAGGAGGTAATAGGGAATTGGTCTTCATAAGGATGTTCATGTTCTGATTTCAACAGCAAAAGGCCTGAGTAGGTTATGGTTTTCCAGAAACTCATTATTTTACAGCCGAAAAAGTTCCTCTGTGCTTGACTGAGTTGATCTAGGACATAAAAGCAAAACTGGTGGGACTCTTAGACACTATTAAGTGTCCTCTTTGATATCCTGGGGCCTTGTTTTCTCAAATGAAGGATGCTCGGTGATAAGCATGCTGCTGCTTTGCTTTGAAGCAGGAAACTACATCAAGGTTTTCCTCTTCCTGGTGTTTTGGTTCACGTGCAGGGCAGGGGGATGTTTCCATAAAGTCTTTAATCAGTTACAAAAGAAGCCCAGGAACTTCCTGGCCACAAGAAAGAGTTTCTGTGAGATGTGTAATATGGGTCATTAAGTAACTTGGTGTTTTGTGAATTTATTTTGGGGGGTGGAACAGAAAATCTCAGTCTGTTTTACTTTTTAGTAAAATCCTAACTGATGATTTGCACTATAAATATCTGCTCTTTTTTAATACCCTGGTAGTGTTACAATTTCATTCCCACACTTTCCTGAAATTTTTGCTGATGCGACAGTGCAATATACGCCGTGAGAATCACAGTCCCTTGTATCTGAAGGTTTCTTGCTCTGCTTCGTGAGCATCTTTTCCTCGACTAAATTGACAATGATTATTTAAAAGAGTTGATCTTGGCTGGTTTCCAAAATATAGGTCTTAACACAGCACCATTTCCCAGTGCTCTCATTAATCACATAAGCTTGTAATAGCATCTAAAAGATTTGCAGTTGTAGTGTCACTTTTTTTTTTTTTTGGTGCATCTTGTGCTTTGTGGCTTTCTACAGGAACAAATTTGAAACATTTAATCTGCTTACATGGCTAAGCAGACAAACCGATCACCCAAGCACAGCAAGGTCTCCATGAGACAAAATGGCTCAGTCCACGTGCTTCCTCTGACCAGTGCCCATCATCGTTTTACCTGACCTCCTAGGCTTACAGATGCAACTTCCAAGCTACTATGGCTAATATGGGCTGCCATAATCTGACAAAGAGCTTTGTTTCTTGTAGGAATCTCTATGCCCTAGTTCCCAAAATAGAATGGATTTCGTCCATTGTATTTTTGGTTCATGCATTAAATGTTCATTCTTTTAAGATGCAAAATAAGACACTTGGGTTTTACATTCGTAGGAGGAAATCCAGTTTATATCAGAATGCTCTTATACAGGGAGAATTGTATGATTCAGCACATTCAATGTTTTGTCCACGCTCAATTAACTGCCTTTAATCTGTTTTGGTGCTCCACTGTTGGTATAATAAGCAGATCAAACATAGTTTGAAGGCTTGAATCCAAGTGAATGCTGCTGATTTCAAACCCTCGTCCTATTGTGCTTAGTTCTTTGATTCATTTGGTATACCTTTTTTTCCTTAAAATAAAGTTGTTTTATGCTGCAATAAAACATGAAAAACACTGTAAGAATACAGTACTGTAGGGCTTTGCCTGTTTAAGTAGCATTTGTTGATGGTCCAGAGTCGTTTTCCCACACTGCAGGCATTTGTTCCGTGACCCTCGCTTTCTGATGATGGGATTGCAGCTTCTCAGGGAAGCCCACAAATCTATCAGCTTACCACTCCTTCCCTTTCTAGGGGTAATTGTGAAGACGAATCTCTTGCTGCTTACGGAATCTCCTGTTATTTATGATAACATGCAAGGGAGAGAGATCCCCGCTTGGTCTGAGGATTGGCAACACGAGGGCAGTGACTGGGTTGGTCCATTCTCGGTGCTGTTTGACGCTCGCCGTTGCTGCACCTTTGGCACCAAATCTTTGCTCTTTGCTCTGTAGGTACCATTGTGTACTGCACACCAGTCAGCCTGGGCGTTTTCATGCTTTAGAAATAATTTTTGCTTTCTTTTTTTTTTTTTTTCTAGATAACGTATTTGCTCGTATTTTAGTAATAATAGTATATTTTAGTATAATTTTTTTTTCAGTTGCTTTAATTGTTTAGGTTCCTCTGTTTGGGAAAACTCAAATAACCTGTGGGATGCCATGTGTGCAAGTTGGAACTTCCCTGTGGTTTTTCATAGCTTTTTACTCCTTCCTGTTGTACGCAGATGTGAACAAGTGCACAGTTGAGGAAGTTAAGTAGTTCGGTCTCCTTCAAACCTTTCATCCCCTAACCTGCCATTAAAATGAGGAGTTATTCATTTAAAATAGCAGTGTGCATTTGGATCTCACCTAGCTACGAGTGAATGGAGAGGAAATGGAGAATAAGAGTGCTCTTCTTTCTAGTGGGAGAGATCTTTTCAAGGCGATGCACAATAGAAAGGTCTTGCCTTGACCTATCTGAAGGAAACACTCAGTGTGTCTTTTCAGCATTCAACTCGCCCGCAGCTCATCTTCTCCAAAGGATGAAAACAAAGATGAGAAAATATGAGATCCTGGACTGATATCATTTTTCTTGGAACAAGTCGGATGTGCACAATCCAGGTTTCCAATAACCTGCAGGAGTTCGTGCAGCCGGTGGGAGGCCTGAGGTTATGGGGCAAACAGCATTCACTCGCTTGCTCTCCAGATTTCTTCCAACTAAGGTGTCATGCAACTGCGTACAAGTTACTGATTTTTGCCCTGATCCTTGGAATTCTTTGTGCTCCTGAAGAGCATCCCCAACCCCCTACAGAGCTTTTTTGAAGTTTTAGTGTTGACAAACCCTGTAGTTGCCGGTGATTTGGTAAGAGGTTCATCTCCATTCGCTGAGATATCTAAAAGTCACCTGGACCTCTGTGAGCAGTTGTCAGGAGCCTCCCAGAGAGGAACTGAGTTCTTCCCAGCCTAAAAGAGGTCATTCAGTGCTTGGACGAATTGCTCTTCTCAGTGGGTCTGGGTTTGGAACAGTCCTGTTTTGTCACTGACTATGGAGGAAGTTTGGACGTGAGATGCTCAGCTTTAGACAGGTGATGAATGTCATTCAGCACACTCACCAAGTATTTCCTTAGCATTACATGGCAGAGAGCTGTACCACCACAAATCCGGGAGATGTATGAGTAGTCACAACAGAAAAGAGCAAACGTCCTCGAATGAAGGCAGGGAACCTGAATACAAAAATTGCAGATATGAGACATGGCTGAGCAAATAACGAAACCTGAGTTTCAGCCTGTAGCTTCTGGTTGTCATCTTTAGAAAGATAACTGTCTGAAACGCTTCACAGACCGCTCCATCCATGTGTGACATTCCTCCGAAGTGCCAGAGACAGCTTCTGATAAGGGCAGCACAGTGCCAGCTTCCCTTCAGCTGTGTGGAGTGAATCATCCCTTTAGGTTTATATTTGCATATTGGTCTCTTCGGGTTTTTTATGTGCCACGTGTTTATGGTAGTTAACCATTAGTCAATATTAACATCGTTTGTCTTCGCTTAAGCCCCAACATCTCCCCCTTCACTGGAGGTGCAGATGTTGGAGCAAAACTTCCCAAGTTCTGCTCGTCAGCCAGTGAGGAAGGATGGGGAGTGTCCAGGGGTCTATTTAGACTAGCAAGAAAGAAAAATGTAGTGAAATATGGCGATTTAATCAAATAAATCTGAAAGCGTATAAGCTTTGCTAAACTTTAAAGGGTCTTTGCCACTTATACATTGCTTTGATCTTGCTTCCCGTGACCTCTTGCAATGAGGACAACTTGTTTTGTCGGCGCTGAGCGACGCTGGTGCAAGCAGTCGGCACTTAACCTCCAACCAGATCCAATTCTGGTTTTCACTCAAACTCATCCGTAGAGGTTAGAAGCAATAAAAGTACTTGCGGGAGGAGTGAGGAACTCCTTTCCCGTTCGGTTTCTTTGTAGCTGATGAGATGCAAACAGCTCCCTGGTACGCAGGCTCGGCAAGGAGGTGCCTTCCACAAACCCAGGTGATGCTGGAGTGAGAGCAGTGGCTTTTTATCCTTCCTGCAGATAACAGAGGGAAGTGATGGAGCCTCCCCACCCTATGGATTGTGTCGTGCATGTCTTTGACCCTGCGAGTACCAAGCTGTGTCTTTACTGCGAGGGGCTCAACCATGTTAACCTCAAGCGCTGGTAACTGAGAGCAGCTTTCTTGGAGGTGGTTCTTTAGCAGCTATTGGCAAATAAATTGGATGTTCATTTGCAGTTACTGTAATTTGAATATGATGTTCAGGCTTCTAAGCTGTCTGCTCCAGCATCAAAAGAAAATGATTGCTCCTTTTAGTTGTAAATAAATTCATGTTTTAGTTGAGGACACTTATGGAAGTGGAGAGCAGAAAGAGCAATTTATTATTAGATCTGACACTTTAAAATATGTTCCCTCTTTGATTCTGCTTTGAAGCATTCTCTTTTGAAGCAGCATTAAAGTATTCAAATATGTACGAGCCCTAGCAGGGGGAGATTACAAGTTGAGACATTTCTTAACCTTGTTTTTATTATTATTATTATTGCTCTTTTTTCAAGAGAATAAGTGTAAGGCGTTTTGTTACTGCTTGGAATAAAATTGCCCATCCATTTAAAAATGCATAAAAATGTTATCCCAGTGATGGGAGGAAAAAAAAATCTTTTTGTGCTAAATAGAAACTGATTTGTATAATTAATTACCTCCTCCCCCTTGTAATGCAGTTCATGAAGCTTATGCCTAGCACTTTGGAAGGGTATTTCTTACAAAGGTTTGTACACACCTTATTATTTCCAAGTTTACTCCTAGTTGCAAGGTATGCAGCCTGCATTGGAAGCTACACAAGGGTTGTTTTTCACCCTGTTTGTGCTTCGTATAAAACACTGTCAGAAAAATTTCTATGGTCAAGCCAAAATTGCTAAGCTTCAGAGACACCTTAAGTTAGCTGATTTGTTCTTATAGGTTAGACCAGCAATGTAATTAAATTGGTATCTCATGAGGATAAGAGGAGAAAAAACAGCCTTGCCTAATGTGCTTTATGGGGCAAAGCAAACTTGAAAATTGTGAAATGATTATAAAATTCATGGTCTTGGTTCGGTGCATTCCTCGGATTTCTTTCTGTCTCGGCCCTCTGTGCATGTTTCTGTGTAACAGGGCACTCTGGTTCTGCTCGTAGCCGGGCTTCTTGCTCTTGCGAAGCTTCGAGGAGGGCCAGGCAGAGAGGCTGGGAGCAAGCACAAAAATGAGTGGCATAGAACCAATTCCTTGGGATTGTATGGCTGTTTGGTTGAAGATAAGTAAATGAATTCACCAACATTTGCCTGTAGGATTTGTCACATCAAATGCCTGTGATTGAATTTCCCACACGCTGCTCAGCTGAGAGCTGTTGATTTATGGTGTTGTCTTTCCGCAATCAGAATGTACTGGCTTCAGGTATTTAACTCTTAAGAGATAAAATGAGACTTCTTTAAAAGAAATTTCTATGAAGTGCTTTTAAGCATGTACTGGTCGAATATTTTATTCTAGAGGTTAGAGGGAAAAGTTGTGCTTGTGTTACAGTAACCTGGAAGGTAGGACCAGAAATCAAACCCTGGAGATGCACTGACTGAAAAGGCAGAACTCAAGATGAAAGGCATTGTATTAGCAGAGAGGCAGGATTACTGACTCCTCCTCTGTCTTGTTTTGGCAAGCAGCCTGTGTGGTGTTACTGAATCTTTGGCAAAATAGGGTTTGCATCATGCTCCTGACTTCTGTGCTCCGTGAGAGGCGTTCAACCCAAAGATAAAAAGGCATGCTAGAAAAGCTTCTGAAGCAAATTTTGGAGTCTTTTTTTTTATATGCCTCATACTAGCCTTTAAAAATATATATCACTGAAGTCATATTTTACTTGATTCAATTTTACAGAGGCCAAAAACATGCAGAGCTAATTTCAAGAGCCAAATAATTTAAAAGGCATTTGAGGAAAAACATCAGCAAGACAGAATGCTCTGTAATAAGAAAGGCTTTTGGAAGTTAGAGTAATCAAATGTGGACTTAAGAATGAGTTTTAAAGAGGACAGAATAAAAGATGCCATACATGATAAGCAACTTTGGAAAAATAATGCACTTGTGCATAGAGGGAATCAGTGTTCATCTTTTTTTTTTTTCTCTCCTACTTTTTCTAAAAATTCATTCAAGTTTTTACATTGAATTTTTTACAAAAGACCACTGCAAATATGGACAAAAAAAAAAAAAAAGCAATCTATTTCGTCAAAAGCAGGTTTCATAGTTCAGCAATGTGAATGTTAGACAAGTCTAAATAAGCAGTTAACAAGTATTGACATTATTAGAAGAAGCTAACAAAGTATTAACACGTCTGTTGATGTGTAGGGGCCATAAACTCCAACTGCAACCTCTGATAATCCACATTAAATTAGATTTCCAAAGGAGGTAATGTCAAGATCTCCCAGATGAAACTACCACGGTCCCAGGAAGGGATGTAATCTGCTAGCAGAAAACACGAGCGAAGATGAAGTGCTTTCCTGAGCTCTGACTCCTGATAAGAAGCAATTCTTTTGCCAGTAATAATGTTTTCCTAACGGACAGAAGTTTGGTCGTTGTGGTTAACTGTGTAATACATCATTTGTTTGTTTTGCAGAAATGAAGATGCCGTCAATCAGATGGCTGTTACTCCTTTCCCATTGCCTTCCAGCTCCCACTCTTCTATTGAGGTAAGGCTTGTGGGTTGTTGTTCCTTTGGTTTTGCTTTTAATTTGGGGTTGCTAAATTAGGCTGATCGTCATTAGCAGTTCATTATAAATTCAAGCATCTTCTGTAATTAAACCCTGAATCATGAAATGGATTGGGTAGGAGTTTGACCTAATAGTTGTCACTTTCACTGTCACTTTTCTTTGTTCTCATCATCACTGGAAGGGCTGGCATGGCACTAAAGGCAGAGATTAAACGGGTTATTGCTGTACAGGAGGAGAAACAGTTTCTGCATGCAAACTTTGCTGTCTCCTATCCTTCAGGTTAGAGTAGTCATGGTCTTTTGCCTGGAATGTGGATATCCTCCTAGCGAAAGTAACATTTTTCAGAGAAAAGCTCACACCCTCTAAAGTTCACTTCCCCCAGAATATTGTTTGCATGTTTAAAAATGGAGTAGGGGTGCCAGCAACTAGCAGTGGTAAGGAGGTCTCTGTATACGTGGCTTCATGACAGCAGCATCTTGGGGCAATCCCAGCTTCACTGAGACCCTTGGCCACAATCTGTCCTGTGCCCCAGCAGTGGTATTGTACGTTCCTGCTCATTTTTTCCTGTAGGAGCAGATGTGAGCTGGTTGGGCAGGGAGCACTCGTATACGGTGTTGTAGCATGCAATCTAATGCAAAACCTTCCTCAGTCCAGTAACGTTACCAATCTTCTTCTTTACTCTGCTTGCTGCCTCAGCCCCAGTGTAGGCTGATTGCTCTCCTGTGTACCACGAATCCCTGCAGTGTCACCACGCTGGTAGCATTTTGACGTCTCAATACAGCATAACTACATTTTCTAGATAAAGCACATGGTTAGCCTTGCTGTTGCTTTTTAATTCTATTTCTATTTGAGCTAGTAAAGCAAAAGACATCTTATAATTCAGTGGGGGTTTGGTCTTGCCTTGAACTGATGAATTCAGGTGCATTAAACTTGTGATATTTCAGTAGGCATCACTGTGATCCTGCAGCACTGAGCCACTCTGGGTAGTGCTGGATGCAGCTCATGGATTGCAAATTACTCTACATATATTTGTGTCTTTGGGTCGTACTAAGCTTTGTTTAGTCACATTTTGGTCTGGGATCAAGTGACCATAGACTAGACTCCACCAGCACGTGGAAACCAAAAAGCTCAGTCTCAAGTGCGATGATTGCCTTTCAAGATAGATGCTCATGGGTTGAGTTTGGTGTTTTATTGGCAAGCCCTTCTTATTTACATTGTGTCTGGTTTTAGAAGTAAATGCTGGGTTTCACTTCTAGTCTAGTACCTTTTTATTCCGTAACATAACTCTAACCAAAAGATGTTGTATAGAACTTGACGTTGCTTTCCTTTGTCAGCTATTTCTCTGCTTTAAAAAAAAAGGACTGTGCTTTATATTTTGAAATACCAAATAAGTATTGAACATTGTGGTGTGTATACTGAACATGAATCTTGTCAGATCGTATTAAAGAGCCTAGCTAAAGTAACAGAATATCAGGGAGCCATAGTTACCGTATGCTATTGTGTTAATCTTCATCTTATCTTTCTCTCTTCATCAAGGCATTTTAATTTTAATACAGAACATGATAAGCAGCAAATATGCCTTAAAACAAGGTCTTGCTTCATTGCATGGAGTTGCAAGACAGGATAAGGCTATGCTGTGGTGTAATGGTGCGGGCATACCACCAAAAGCAGACTAATGATTCATTGTGCTAAAAGCTTGGTTTGCAAAACGTTTCATTGATCAGAAAGCCACCCCACCATCATCTGTTTAGTTGGGGGAGCGACACGTTCTGCTGCAGTCCTGAACAGAGTAAGCCATGTAAGGACAGAGGGTGGTTTACTCCTTGTGCAGTGGTCGAGATGTTTGCATGATTATAATTGTGCACTGTGAAGTAAAATGTCTCATGGCAATTCAGAAATAATCTTTCTTCTGAAGATCTTAAAAATGGGTTTGTTGTATATAGTTTATCTTGCTCTGGAAGAGAGAGCAGCTCCAAAGTTGGATTAAAAGCTCAAATGTACTGAAACTACTTAAAGTAAATCAGAACTAATGGATCAAAAATATCAGATTCAGGATATTTTTAAAATATCCGGTCAGTTTTAAAAAGGGAAGGAAAATTACCACCTTTACATTTTGCATGTAGCCAAATTAGTGAGAATTTAAACTTTAAATTCTATCTCAACCTTTTCATGAAGATGCCATTTCCTCTCTATCTAAGCTTTATCATTGGTATGGGAAAGATATTTTTTCTTGCCAATACATGCTTCTTAAATACATGCTTCTTATTATATAGAGAAAGTAGCAGGAAGTCCTGATCAGAAAAGCTTTTCTACCTAGTATGGTGCTATTTTATGTTCTAAAGGCCATTTTTATTTGGAACTCTCTTCAGAAAGTGAGAAACTCGTTATACCTTGGGTGCAGCATAGATGTGCGGCACAGGTTCAAAACCAGAGCTCATGTAGGAGGTGGTTCTGGAGCACATCTTGGTGAAAATACTGATGTCATTTGGCCCACTAACATCATTAATTTGTTCTCCAGTAGTTGTACTTGAATGCTATTTGCAGCGTTGTCGAGGAACGCGCAGACATAATTGAGTCCTGAGGTCCCATTTGCAGTTGAGGTTGGAGGCAGTGCTCCAGGGCTGGCTTCAGCCTGTGGAGCTTGGTGGCCACACGCTCTGTCCAGAGGAGCTTTGGCTTGGTGATTCCTCCAGGGCTGATCCATCAGTCCCTCTGCTACCAACCCTCTTGGACTGCACGAAGGAAAACTTGGATTCCTTCTCAATGCATTGAGCATGTGTGAAACTCATCCCCTCTGCGGAAGTCTGGTGGGGGTCCCTTAATCCAAGCTCAATAGTTTGCACACTCGATGTGGTTTGGTCTGGCTTTGAAAATTGACCCAGATCTGCTCCAAAGTGCTAGCTCATGGTATTGGACCACCTCCTGGTGCTTGGGGCTGGCTGGAGACTGAGGTCTGTCTTTCAAAACTTGTATCGCTTATTTGTCTCCTGACAGTAGGATGCTTTAATTGTGGATCTTTTTACTTTTTCATGCTGCTACTTGTTTAGAAAAACAAAAGAAAAGGTAAAACTGTCTATTTTTTTTCTTTAGCTGTTATGGGGGATCATAGCTCTGTTTAAAAACTGTTATCAATCCTTTCTACCAGGATCACGGTGGCACCGAAACTGCAAGCAGTGAAGAAGACCCAAGCTTGGATGTTGTCATGAAAAGCCTGACTGATGAGGAATCCAATAAAACTGTAAGTGACTTACAGCAACATTTAGTAACAATCACAGCTTAGAAAATGCCAGCTCATTGGCTTGGTTTGCATTTTAGCTGTGCTTGGGCTGGAGTATTACGGCATACTTCTGTTGAATAATATCCAGAACATGTAAGAGCAGAATCCAACTTCTTGCTTTACATCTATTTGTTCTCTTCACATGTTTTCATGAATTAAGACCTCAGTATAATTAGTAAAAATACTGAGGTTAAGTGTTTTTATGTACCATTTTGTCTTTCTCTTGATTGCTTTCTCAGTTAGAGGATTCAGTTTCTACTCTTGCTATTCATGTGTGACAAACTTCAGAAAAAAAGCATGGTCTGTAAATCATTTTCTTCTTTATATTCATAGCTTCATAAATTCTAAGGCCAAAATGACTATTATCATAATCTAGTCTTGCCTCCTGAATAACATAGCTATAGAGTTACTTTCAGTAATTTCTACATCAAGCCCATAACTTCTGATTTAATGTGTTACTGTCAGTATGCACTGTAATAAATACTGAACTTCTCGTTGATACAAATAGGGTTTTTTGTTTTTTAGTATGTCAGGATCGTGCGTTATCAGAAATCAAAGTCCTTCAGGGTTCAGCTTTAATCTCTTTTTTTTGGATTCAGTATTAAAAGTTTGAAATGGAAAACTACTAAACATGCCGGAGAGTGACTAACCTAGAGGTACATAAAATTTGCTGAGGCAATCTTTTTGCCCAACAGACCACTCTTTTTTCAAGGAGTGCGTTCACTGAGATTTGCTGTGTGCGCAGTTTGTGTGCAGGGCTCCACAAGGGAAATCTGATACTTGTTTTCCTAATTTTTTTCTCCCTGCTCCATCATGTTTTTTTGCAAATATAAGTTGAATATATATAATGTCCTGTAACTAGTAAATATTTAATTAATGAGTCCATGAACTCTAAGTGTTAGGAAGTAGTACGTGGTATTCAAGCATCAGAATTAACCAAGCATGTAAAATGGATTTGTGTTCCTAATGGGTTACTAAGAAGTTTTAATTATTTGTGTTCACATTTGTTTGCCTTGTTCAGAGTTCTCCCTAGATGAGCTAGAACATAAATGAATCAAGGGTTTTCTTGTATTCATTTATGGGTATAATTCACCTTTTCTTGTTGCTGGTCTTGTTCAACTTGGCAAAAAAAAAAAACAAAACAACAATGGGTTACAAAGTAATGTGAAAAACTTCACAAAAGTGGATAAAAAGATACAAAAGACTGTTGTAAAGAATGAACTTGATATAGGATATGTGCTGTGCTGCTTTTTGGAAGCTAATAGAGGGAGTATGAATTTAATGCAAAAAATAAAAATGGGAAAAAAAAATGCAGCAATCCAAGATAAGCACGGAGGGAAGACACCAATGGGACAACAGAGGACAGAACATATTGGCAGCATCTTTTCAAATGTGGTGAATGAAGAAAGAAGTGAACTGTTGAGCCAAAGGGTAGCAGTTTCAGTATTTTTGACTGAAAGATAAAAATAAAATGAAAAGATAAAGCGTTGGTGGTAAGAGTGGTTCTATAGAAGACAGCAGAAAAGTAAGAGAAGACAAAGGGATACGTTTGCTGAGAGCATCAGGATAGTACTTTATTTAGTTTTTTGTTTTGACTGTCTGTACCAGCTTATCTTTCCACTTAAATTTTTCACGTAACAGCAACCAGCTGCTGCAATTTGCCATTTATCTTTGGAATTCAAGCCATGGTGTCCAGCAGGCCCCTAGTATTATCCCTGCTGAGGTGTAGAGGGGAGGCAACCTGTCCCAGCTCAGTAGTGATACCAGGATATTACTCAGTGCCTATTTGCATAGAGGGAACTTCCTGATTTTTTCCCATCAATTAAATAGCCTGCTGAGAAGTTTAGTAGGAGGTGGAGTTAGAAAAGTATTTGAATGCCTCCAGATCCAACTGCTTAGTTCCTTGTGGCTTCAGTTGGGCCAGCCCGCAAAACGGAGGCACAAATAAATGAAAAATGCTAGAGGCTAGCTTCAGAACCTCAGAAATTGCTTTCGATCAAGATTTTAAAGTTTCATGGCAAGTATTTCTAAGGAGTGTATCTTATTTTTGTAAATGCTGATGGAATTTGGTTGTAATCAGTCCCTTCAGTGGATATGGGTCATAGTGGCACTTAGGCTTCAACACTGCAGTGCAAGATACGACAGCTCATTATTTTTAGGAAAAAAGATTTCTGCCTAAAGATTTTTCAATCTTTTAGTGACCGAGGCAAAAGAAAATAATGCCTCATTTTCCACAGTGTGTTGCTACCAGAGCCTAACACTTACTTCACCATTGTTACTGAATTTCTCAGGCATATGTCAGGAGAAATCAGGAATGTAAAAGTCAACGTGTAAGATCAAGTTCACTGAGTAAATAAAAAGTATGTGCTTATCAGCAGATCTTCTGCAAGTGCATACAGCTCAAAGCACAGACAGGACGGCTCACCAAATGACAGCAGGAATAAAAAAAAAAATGAAGTCATTCTGTGTTGCTGATAAATTTGTCAGTCTCTCCCAAGATACTTTTTATTGTCACTTCATCACTTTAAAAAGTAGAAAGTTGTATAATGGGCATCATTGTAGACTCGGATGATAAGAGAGGGAAAGAAAACAACTTTATTTTTGGACTGGAGCCAACGGAAGTGTTAGGCAAAGTCTTGCATGCTCGTTAGCTGCCACGTCGAGAGGTCCTGGTGGCAGGTTGTGGTTTTCTGAGGATGGTTGCTGTCCTGGCCTCTACAAGGTGTTGTTGGAAAAGAATTGATAGATGAGGGCTTTGGGAGAGACTCAGAACTTTTAACTTTACAGAGGTGAAAATGGCTTGAAGAGTCATTGGATGTGCTCTGAAACACCTCACGTCATTAATTTCCCAGCAGTTTGCTGTCCTGGAGGTGGATACTTAATATTATTATTATTATTGTTAATAATAATAAATGCTTAAACTGATGTTAGGTGAGAACAGACTCACTTGAATTATTGACAAAGAGGAGGAGCTTCACAAAAATGCTTCTGGATGTACTTGGGGGAGTTGAATTAAATCAGGCTGTTGGTTTGCAGGCATATGACAAATGCTGAGTGCACAATTCAGTGTTTGAACGCCTGCAAATCTTCTCATTTTATCCAGACACCTCCATCATAGAGAAGACTAAAGGGCTTTAAAGGTGATGTACAATGCTTACGTGATGTGCAGGTTGAAGTTTTAGGCACATATCAGAATGAAAAAGGGAAGTAAGGGATTTTTTATTGTTCATCAAAACACTCTCTCTAAGGTGACAAAGCAATCTTCCCACTTCTCCCCAGACACTTCTGATAATACAATGAGATCACTTTATCTTATTTTCTTGTTATCCATTTGGATAATAGTTACAGTTGTATGCTTAGTGCAAGAAAAAAATGCAGAAAAAAAAAGCCTGGGGGGCTTGGCATGTTTTAATGGAATAAAACTTCGGGAAACGAGGCCAGTATTTTCAAGCTTGGTTACCTAAAATTTGATTTATGTTTTCTTTTGTATGAATTGTCATCTTAATTAGAAATTCTTCTGAGGTGCAGAATATCTCCATCTTTTGAAGTTGGTGCTCAGCTTTTCTGAAAATGAGGCTGTGATCAAAGTGACCTAAGTTTGGTGTAGAGGTTTAAAAAAAAAAGGGGGGGGAAGGCACTAACTATCTGGAGGCAGTTCTAGGACAAAAATATTCTTTAGTGTATTGCAAAGGTATAGAAAGAAATGAGGATACAAGTGAAGGTCGTGATTGAAGTGCCATTGTTTGAGATGCTTATAATGAGGCTGGGTGATGCATTTTAAGCAGTTAGTTGAAGTGCAAGCAGCGCGCTCAGTGCTGCTGAGGACTACCACAAAAAGAAGGAAGGAGGTGAGAGTAGATGACTTTGAACTTCTTCCAGCTGTAGGAACTGTATGGTCTATACCCATGTGCCAGAAAGTAGACACATGAGTACCTGTCCATTTCAACATAGCACGGGAATTGCTGTCCTGGCCACCCTGGAGAGTGGCCTTCCATCTTCTTTATCACTTCATATTTTTAGGAACTATATAAACAATATGTGATACTCTTCTCCCAGAAAATCCCTTCCTTAAATTGTACGCATTCAGTAATTCCTGATAATTTCTGTATTCATACTAATTTTTAGTAATTCTAAGTTCTGTTCTAAGTAACTCTAAGTTTTTCTCTAAGTAATTCTAAGTTTTGGAATTCAACTCTGTGTGCTAGAAGTGCACTTGTATGATGATATGCCACTGTGTTTAACCAGACCAGTAATTTCTGATTTTGGAAGATACTTCATTAAAGCTAGTATAACATTTTCAATACATCTCACTTTCTTTTTTTGACCTTTTAGGAAGTGAAATGTAAAACTGACAAACCAGTGTTGGTGGACCAGTCGGAAGCAGAGGAGCAGCTCCCAGAAAATGTTTGTGTATTCTTCTTGACCATTAAGGGGGGCTGGATTTAGTTGAAGGTTGTGTGATTTATGGGAGAGAGGGGCTAACTGGAGAAATACTAAAATAATTTTCTTGGGGGTAAAAAAATTACTTTATTCTCTTTAAGTATATCAAAATAGTCCTACAAGCTAATGTCAAGGATGTTCTTTGCTCTTTAAAAGAAAAAAAAAATTGTTTGGCATGAGAGGCACCACTGAGAAAAGTCCTACTTCCTACACATGATTGCTGGAAGCACAGTTATCCAGACTTTCTGATTTGGTATTTATCTTCAAAGTGAATGTTTTCAGTTCATCACCCATGCTTCTTACGTTTCCTTTCTGTTGACTTAGTAGATTTAGTAGGGTGCGCTGATTGACAACTAATGCATAATATGCATTTCTGTGTTTGATAACTGATCTGTTTTGCTTCTGCTGTGCTTCGATTTTAGGTTCTCAACCAGATCAAGCAATCTAAATCTTCAACAAAAACATCCGTCAACTTGCAGGAGATACCTCTGGTGTCAGCACCTACTTATCTTCCTCCAGACACAGAAGTCACCAGCCGCAGTATGAACCAGTTTCTATTTTTTCAATATTATTGTGTGGATTAAGTACCCTAATCCAGGATGCTTTATATTTTTTCTGGATAACTTTTTCTGAGATTTTTTACTATGAGCATCCAATGTACTACTTCAATTTACTTTATAAAATGTTTGCACTTTTCTCTCATTTTTATAATTTTTGAGAGCCTGAAGATGTCTTTGCGTGCTTCTCATGACTTTTGTGTACAGAGGGCTTTTGCTCCTCTTTTTAATTAAAAATAAAGACAGAAATAAAGGCAATCTGGGACATGACCTTATCTACTCTGAATGGAATACACATTGCCATCGTGATCTGAATTGTATAGGTTGTATCTGAATTGAGTCCTACCAGACATTCACTCTATTTACTCCTAGAGCTTTGGAGACGGTCTAATTTAGAGACTTCAGAAGTGACTCAGAGTAATTGTCAAGTTTGGTTTAGATTTGTAAAGATGAAGAGCAAAATAAGAAAGCTTTATTAGTTGCTCACATATGATTCCTTTTTCATTATTATTATTTTCTCACATGACAATGTAATTTATTTCTTTCCTTTTTCACATTCCTAGGTGTCTTTCCACCTCTATTGCCTGTGGATCCATCAACATGTCCTATTGTTCCTGGGCAGGAGATGACTATAGAGATATCCAAGGGTCGGTCAGGGCTTGGACTCAGCATTGTCGGAGGGAAAGACACTCCCCTGGTGAGCTTCTTTTAAACTAATATATTAATGTATCTGATAAAGAATAAGACGTAAAGAAATGAATTATGCCATTAGTCTGTTACTGCCCTACTGTGTTGGTCAGTATGGGGAGGAGAAACCAGAAACCACAATCTTCAATAACACTGATAATTTTGTCTTGTATCACATCAGTCATTTTCTGTTGCATTTAAATTGAAAGGTCTGTGTTTCAGAAGTGCTTTCTGCTATGATCAGAGTTTACAAATATATGTTATGTTTTTAACCAGTGTGAATTAAGAGTTTTCCTGCAGGTAAGTTGCCAGAATGATTAGATTTAAGGAGTGTCACAGAGGTAGAACGACTTCAGCAAGGTTACACCTACATCTTCAGAATATGTTTAGTAGATATTTAAATAAACTGTGATACATCTCCCAGCCAGTTGAACAGAGGTAAATCAAAGGCAATCTTTTATTGTTTTATGCGTCTTTTAGTTTAATCTGCCCTTGGCTATGTTGTTTAAACAAAAATTATTTTCAGCTACCTTAAAATTTATCAGTTCAAGTGTAAACTCAGCAAGTTAATTATGCTAACGCCTTTTCTACCTCTGCTGTTGCTGTTTCCACTCCTCTCTACATTTAAGAGATGCTGTACTACAGTGTAAGAGAATGTCAGCTTTTATTTAAATGTCACATTCAGTTCTTTCATTAAACTAGTCTGTTGCAGAGGTTACTTTATTGCATTCTCCTGAATCCATTGCAGCAGAGATGTAAGGCAACAGAGCCTGCTCTGTTACGTGCAATTGTTCCGTTCCCAAAAATATCATGGTTGTTCATCGTTAAACAATAAAGTGCTTTGAGTGTCAGCAGCCAGAGATTTTAAACAGTTGCAATGTAGCAATCTTTTTCCAGACCAAGAAAAAAAGTGGAAGTAATAAGGTGGTTTTATTTTGCAAAGCATAGGCTGTATCTTTTACAGCATTAAAGCTGAAATTGGAAAAGGTTCAGCTTTCTATCCCACTTATCCAAGTCTCTGGATGTGTGGAGTTTGGATGAATTGCTCTGTTTCACATGGAGATAGATCTGACTTATGCCAAAGGTTAAATCAGCCTGTATGGTTTTCACTCTGTCCAGCCATGCACTGGTTTGTATCTAGTCCTTTTTTCCTCTAGCTTCTCAGTGTTGATTAAATTCAAATAAGAATTTCAGTATTAGTCATCTCTCTGCTTTTTCATTTAACTGGAATTTGGAAATAATACATGGCAGTCTGTCAGACACAATCTGGTACATGTCTTTCATGAGATTTTCATATAAATAAATGAAAATTATAAATATCTACTTTACAGAGCAGATGAGAAAAATGCAGAGGATTTTGTTCTTTAAGTTGAGTAAATGGTTTTGGTTAAGTATTGTGCTTTCATTACTTTATTCATTAAAGTGTCTTTGTAGGAGTTTATGATCTATGCAGTTGATTGCAGTAACCGTGAAATTCATGGAAGGAGGGAGGTCTGATTTCCAACATTTCTAATCCTTGCATTTTGGACCCACCAAAATGAGTCCCTGTTTCTTGTCATATTTCTTCATCTGCTCATTCAAAGGCAATCGATGTTATTTCATAGGAAACAAGTTACAGTTGTGAGACCACAGTCTAATCTAATAATTTACCATGTGCAGAGACCCTCTGTGGGATTCTCCAGAGCTTGCTTGCTTATCCAACCAGAACCGTGCATGCACACTGTTCTCCTTACAGCAGGTAGCCAGGGAAGTGTCTTCAGCTGGTGGGATCGACATCACTCTGTCTTGTAGTAGTGATCTCCCTCAAATTATTCCCAAATTATTTTGATGATTTTTTCACCATGTACTCAAAAAGAAAAAAAGAAAAAAAAGAAAAAAAAAAAAAACAAGGAAAGGAAAAAAAGAAAGAAAAAATCCTTTAGTAAAGATCTGAAATAGTTTACATAACAGAATGGAGAGAAGTAAAAGAAGATGCTACTCAATGCCTGTCTTTTGGGATTTCTTGGAGTAGAGGACAAAAGAAATTACATACATACCTGGAACTGAGTGATGTATTTTTTCTTACTCTACTTCGTTTGTTCTTAACTCTGATATAGATGGACATCTGTCATATTTCAAAAAAGGCAAAATAAATTGCCTTACAGCTTCACTGCTTATGCATGCATTATGCCCAGGTGCCATAGAAGTTTCTCTCTTCCAAAGGGCTGGTCATGTGGCAGAAACTGAGTATCCATGAGCCACTGTTTTCTCCAGTGTGGTGAAGTGATATTAATTAAGCTGTAATAGTTATTAGTTAAGTTAAGCTGTGATTGGTTTCAGCAGTTTTGTGTTTGTCTGTTTCTCTGAGATATTTTTTTTCTTTTTCCTTTTCTGTTTTTGAAATGGGAGTTGTCAAATCCAATTCAGAGGAATGGGAATAGAGCCACTCGTAGCTTATTTCTGCAGGCATGAGATAGGGATTTACTGCCTTCCGTGCTCAAATAGTTGAGGCAGCACACACAGACCACAGAGGTGAGATGCTGTGATGAGACCATGGAAATGGTCTCACCAGAGACAGAAAGTCAGAGCAGGAGTAAGTCCGTGGGCTTGGTGCCTGTGTGTGCCACATGGCTGCAGAAACTTGTTCTGCCTGGTTGTCCTGTGAGAAAACAAGACACTCACACCTGTGTCTTTCTCCTTTCCTATTGTGCTATTTATTTCATACCTGCAGAGGTGTGCAAGTGGCTGCTAAAAGCCAAGGCTCTGAACCCCAGTCCCCAGTAGCTCAGAAGTCATTTATCAGCCCTGGGGACGGAGGGAGGCTGTGGTAATAAAATGCACTTCATCTAAAAATGCTGAACTGGCTGCTGGTAGTCAACACTGACACACAGCAGCAGTTCACATGTGATGGGAGGGCTCATTTCAGAATATTTTGGATTTTTTTTAATTAGTCCCAGCTTTTGGAATAAACTTGGCAGGCTGCTAGCGGGACGCTTCCTAATGAAACACGGAGTGTGGCTTATAAATCGTAACCTTGGGAATCCCATCAGAAATCACCAAGTAAAGGTTGTTCAGGAAGTGGGAAAATGATGTCTTAACCCCCATAAAATGTTTTGTTGTTGTTGTTGTTGAGATGAGCATCCCATTAACTTGCAAAACCTTTCGAGTTGCCTGTATTTGCAAGCAAGGATTGTGGCTGCGTACTGAGGGGAGCCAGAGAGCATCAGCTGGAAGGATGTGCTCCTAGAAAAGGCACGGGGAAGAAAGGATTGGCCTGGATAGTTGTCTTCATGTTGCTGGGATCTAGACTGCTGTAGCTCTTAAGCAGTCCTATTTCCTTTTATTCTGAGGGTTGATTTTTTTTTTTTTTCTCCAGTGTCTTTCATTTCACCTTCTCCTGCACCCCGGGGAGAACACAACACATGGCCTCTCCTTTAAAGCAATTAAACTGTGGAGCGGAGCTGGCTGAGGTACAGGGCTTTCAATTTGTGAGAAGATTTGTTTTTTGGTTATAGTCCAATCAAACTTGTAAAAGTAACTCTCAGAGCGGGAATTAAAAAATATAAAAAAGCAGTGTTTTCAGAAACATCCCAAAATGAGGTTTGGGGGCTCTAACTCCGCTCCCCAGGACACCATCCTGCCCTCCCGCCCCCCTGCTTGCTGAACGACCCTATAAAAAGCTCGTCAGCCCCGCCACTGCTAATGGCAGCCATAAACCTGACAGGAGTGTCATTGTCACTCGGCAGCTGCCAGCGCTCCCAGGGCGCCTGCACCGCTCCAGCCGCGGGACGCCCGCCGCTCGGGCCCCATCAATGCAGCAGGGCCTGCCAGAGCATCAGGGGGGCTCCAGGAGCTGGGCAGGGCTCTCCTCATGCCTGGGCATCCAGCTCTGAGCCCAGGACTCTTGGCTGGACGTGGAGTTGAGCTTTCAGGCGTCAGCAGTCGCGGCAGCCAGCCAGCCTCCGTGGCTGGGTGCCCCCAGGATGGAGGGGGCAGCCTGGGGCACAGCACCAGCGGCACCGCACTGTGGAGCTCACCATGGAGCTAGGAACCTTTCCTTAGCTATCCCGCTTTTGTTTCGGGGCACTCTGCACAAGTTGTTTCCAGGCAAATGGTTTGGTTGCAAGTACTGGGCTTTTTTCCTCTGAAACTCTTTTTCCAGAAAGTTGTTAGGAGGTTTTCAGTTTAAATCATCTGATTCCCAGGGTATCGAGGAATTGTTTGAAAAAGTTGTCCGTGTGCTCCTGCAGATAGCGTGTGGGTTTAATTCATCCTAACCCCATCATCACCACACAGCGGGTGAATACTGCGATGTCCAGTCCGGTTAGCTGCTTGCACTGAACCATTTTATATAAAATAGGATTGCCACTTTACAGGGATCTTAATCTTGGCAGTACCCAGAAAAAAGCATCACTCTGAGATAAAGACAGCTTGTTGGTAAGGTGGGAGAGCAGCTTTGCTTCACCCAAGTAATTTAGTAATGGTCGAGTTGATTACGAGTTGATTACCTGTAGTTTGTGACTCTGTGCTGTCTGGGCGATGAAGGTGCTGGGATGTGCCGGAGGGCATTTGGGGATTTTGGGGTCGGTGGAGGCTGGTGCGTGGATGTTCCCTCTGGGTTGAGTTACAAAACCTCAGGAGGGGAGGAGAGCAGCAGGGACTCAGGTGGGGCCTGAAACCACAGCTAAGTGCTGAGGAGGCACCTACAATATAAAAGGAAAAAAAAAATACATTGTAGGAGCGGGCTCTTTGGAGCTAGAGTAGCTAGGATGGAAGTCAAGTGTGAGATGTGAACATTAGAATGAAAAGAAGCACCCTGTATCCCGTGTATTTTGTATTGAAAATGACAACAAACCTCTTGTGCAGAATTTTTATGCTGGGCTGTCTACTTCGAATTGGATATATAAAAATGTTTTACTTCTGCTTTCAGCTGGCTTTAATAAAAAGCATTTCTAAGGCAATTAACAAACCTTAAGGTACTCCATCTGTAAATTAAAGTGATCCACAAAGCCAGGGAACTGGAAAACTCGA